AGACAAAAGCATGCTTGCTTAGGGAGGAAAGGAAGCAAGCAAAAGATAGCAGTGGATAAGATGGAGCTATAGTACAAGCAGAATGGCTTACAGCTTTTAATCAAGAGCTAAAAGCTGTGCCAGCAGGTGAGAAACTTATCACCAGAAAAGATGGCAAGCAGAAGGAACTGAAGGAAAGCTACACTGCATTTCATCAACTTTCCCTTAAGAAAGCGTTGAAAATTCTATGAAGAAGGGGATCAGACTGAGAAACTTGATGTGAACTGCAGGATGTCTCCTGGAAAGCACTGTGCTGCCTCGAGACATGCAGCCCCTCACCTGGTAAAGGCTCTTACGCTCCACTGATATTACAAGACTGCAATATCCATTTTGTAACAGCAGCACACAGGAAAGCCACTTTCACATGGCTATTGCTGTGATTCCCAGACGTTGCTCTGCAAAGTACTCTCTGTTCCTCCAAGCAAACTCTACAGGGCTTTTTCCTAAATGTAATAATCCACAGATGCTATGTTAGAGGCACACTGTTCCACTAAAACCCAGGTCCTGATTATGCTGCTGTGCACCAGCCCCCAAATCTCATTACTCAATGATTCAAGTCTGGCAGTCTCTGGAAATTTTATCAGCAAAAATGTAATGCCTTCTTCCAAGCCACAGCTACAAATATCAAACATTAGGCTAAGAAAAACCTTGACAATTTACTGCAATTAAGAAGTCTACTTTCTGATACCACTACAAGTAACTCATATTTACAATTAATTACTAATACTAATGCATTTGGGGATAAAAGTTAAGACCCCTAATGAACCAACACGTAATCTGTACAAATTGAAGTAAGCTGAACACAGAGAAGTATTTATTTTGCAAAAAGAGACTTAGTTTGAAGCCCTGCTGGCTGACAGAAGACATTTATGTTGTTTCCTTTTGAGTTGTATGTCTGAATTTGCCATTATTTCTCTCCCTAACACCAGGAGGTTAATCCGATACTCAGGTGCATTTTTTTGTTCTTGGCACTTTCTCAGCATTATTAGAACTCCAAAGAACTTTTGGGACAACTTTTTAAAACCACCAGCACCAGTTATCCACTTTGATGAGTGGAGAAAAACACAGTTAATATTCTTCTTTATTAAATACATTTCTTATTTTGTGAGTTTCTTTTATTTTAAACAAAACATGCAAATTCAGTCTTGAATGCAATGCAAACGTTTATAACCATGAGCAAGTCACATGAACTCCCCTATCTTTAACATCTGCCTTTGAAAGACACTACAATCCACAGGTTGCTGAAATATACAGATAAAACCACTTTCCATGGAGAAATTTGGGGGGGTGGTCTTTCTTTTTAATTACATTTAACAGCTTTTACCTATAAGCAGATAACTGCTTTGCCACGCAGAAAAATAGAAGTCATCTTGCTAAATCTGGTTTGGCAGCAAATCTGCTCTTCTGAGTCTTCTGCAAGATGATCTGGTCCTCTGGTCCAGCTCCTGATGGTCTGCCTCCATACCAGAAATCCACGTGCTACCTGGCACTATCACTGGCGAGCACAGCCAACAACTGGCTGCCAGCTAAACTGCTCTCCAACCCCAAGGAAAGCCTCAGCATTTGGAAACAAACAGCTCCGGGAGCAATAGAGAACAATAGAGAATCCTCACTGTCGCAGTCAGTGCTAGAGCTTCGTGTATTTGCTGAGTACAAGCAAGATTTTAAACCTTTTAGCACGCCTGATGAGAGTAATGAGAGCTCAAAACAAACATGCATACAGAAGTCACTCAGTACTCGATCCCATAGGCTTTTCCACATGGAATGGCACTGAGCTGGATTTGGAGACTACGAAGCAACTGCACAACTCAAGTTCAGAGGAACAAAGAGCAGTACTATGCCAGCCTGCCTTCGGCACACCTGCTGCAACGCTCCATGCGAAGATCCCGACTGAGCAGTACCACTGCTACAGGACAACAGTGAGCATGTAGGAAAAGCCTCGCTCAGATCACAGAATGTGTGATTTTAACCCAAGTGAGGAGAGGGAGGGGGAGAGACTTCCTGGATGAAGTGAACCACAGAGATATTTTAATCAGAACACAAAAGGAGGCTGAGACGAACACCAACTGACGCGGATCATATCGCATCAATAATCCATGCACACAGCCTCCGCTGAGAGCAACGGGAGGTTTGTGTGTAAATGGCTTGTACAGAATAAACGCATGCCCCCATTTAGACTCCACACAGAAGAGAGAAAACATCGAGAACAATTCCCGTGATTAACATTTCTCTTCTGCCAAGTGTTTCTAAAATAATCCTGACTTTACACAGCCCTGCTTTTATTCACAGCTTTCACAAGTGATGGCAAAATAGCTGACCCCATTTGTCAGATGAAGGAACTGAAGCATCAGATGCAAATGAAACTGAGGAGCAGGGCAGCAGGCAAAGCTGAACTGGGAACTGCATTTACCTTCTGAATCACAGTTTAGTGCCCTAGATATTTAGATGCTTATCTAGATCAAGCCTCTAATTAGGATGATTTGGCACAGTCCTCAAATAATTGTCCTGCTGCCTGCAGTACCTGTGCACACCGATAAGCTCAGCTGCACCAGTTTGTCACTTCACCATGAGAATTTCTGGGGCACTACAGACATCGTACAAAGGTTCCAGCACCAGACAGCCCTGCTGAGAACCCCTGGCAGACCCAGAGCCTCACTGCTTGGTAGCACCAAGGCGCACTGAAATTGGCTGTCAAATCAACACTTCCCACATGCTTTCCATTGTGCAAAAAGAAGGGAGAGAGGGGGAGGGAAGACTTAATTCAAAACAACAATGCATTAGCTGGAAATGATCTAATTCTGGTGTTCCAAACTGACTGTGCTCCATAAGAAAAAGTCAGATAGGATCTCCAGTCAGGAAAAGAGTTCAGTACTCACAAGAGACTAGCGTCAACCATCAAATACAGATAGGAGAAAAATGAACCATTATTAGCCTACAAACGTTTTACAATAAAGCCAAATAGGGAGGGATATTAGAAGAAAGTTAAACATTCATTGGTGTGATACAAAATTAAAAGTTTCATTCTGTATTAAATCTGACTTCTTCCTCCCCAGAAGCACTGCAGGACAGACTGCCTCCTTCCAGGCTCTGGGTGCTTTTCTTCCTGAGAAAGTCTAGCTCTGAAACACACACACCTGACAGGACTGATTCAGCAAGAGGTCCATGTTCCAGTCTGAGCCTGGCATATCAGAACTACAACATGACACAGGGCTGGTGCCAACAGCAAGCATCTCCATCTCCCTCTCCTGCAAATAAACAGCTCATAACACTGTGAAAATAATGTACGCTGAGTTCTGTCAATCTTCTGATTCCAGCGTTCAATTGCTTCCAATGATAATTTTTAAAGGAGAACTGGCTTGTTTCGTTCTTTGTTTTCCTGGCAAAAGACTTAAGCCTAACACTGATGAGGCAGGTGAGAGAGCTGAGAAATGGCCACGCTGCTCCTTCAAGAGTTATTCCTCTGATTCATCGGAGCTTTTTTCTTTCCCAAGTTGTCAAAACAAACACCACACCCACCTGATTTCCGAGTTCTGGGCAATTACGTTTAAAATTAGCAATCACCGTGTAGCTATTAATCATACGAGCCTTAGCCATTATTTTATCCATTTAGAAACAAGCGATACCCTCAAACACGGCGCGTTTAACACTTGGCAGCCATCTGTACCGAGCAGCCGTTGGGTTACAGCGAATGTAGGGCAGCCCTGCAGCCACCGAGCACATGAAGCCGGCCGGGCACACAGCGGAGGGCTCCTCCAGAGGGAAGGGAGCTTTACACACGAAGCACACTAGAAACAAGACGAAGAAAGCAGGCTGCAAACCCGCCGTCCTTCAGCCGGGACAATCCGCAGCCTCCGAAAGATTAAAGGTTAAAAGCTCCCCTAGGATGCAAGCCCCGATTTGCTAAAAGTGCTGTTTGGGAACATTAGCATCGCTGCCTTTAGGAACGGTTCGCCTTGTTTAAACTGGATGAACCACTCCGGGATTATCACCGAGCCTCCATTAGGATGACACACAAACAGAAGCCCTCGCAGAGCATAATTATTCCTTTCACCGCTCGCACAAACGCCAGATACACACTTTTCTCTCCCTCCTCCCCAGCGGACGCGCAGCTGCGCCCGGGGAGCGCCGCGATATCTCCGGGCGGGATCGGAGCCAACGCGGGGTTGTCACAGCGCCGACCGACCGACCGACCGACGGGGCCCCGCCGCCCCAAGAGCGGCCCTCCGCCCGGCCGAGCCTTCCGGCCGCGGGCACGGAGCCCCATCGTGGCCGCCGGCACCGGCGCTGCCCCCGTGCCCGGGAGGAGCCGGGCAGGACGGGGCACGGAGCGCGGAAAGGAAAAAAAGGCGCGGTGCCGCGCCGCACGTCCCGGACTCGGCCGCGCTCCCCAGCCCCGGTCCGGGCGCGCCGGCCGCGAGCGAGCGCCGCCTCGGCACGGCGGCCAGGTGCGGGGCCGCGGCCCCTCCGCCACTCACCGCCACCTCCGCCGCCTTCTTCGTCCATGTTGGGGCCGTGCGCGGCGCGCTCCGCGACGGCCGCGGCTCAGGGAGGCCCCGGGCTCAGCTCCTCCCGCCGCTCTCTTCCTCCTTCGCCGCCGCCGCGCTCCCCGGCCCCGGCCCTCCCCACCCGGCGCCGCCTCACCCCGGCGGCGGCCGCCGGCTCGGCCCAGCCGCCCGCCCCTCTCATGTGACCCGCGGAGGGGCGGGGGGGAGGCAGGGCCCGGCCGGATCCGTGCCGCCGCCGTCGCGAGGTCGGCTGTCCTCGCCGTGCTCTCTCCTCCCCTCGGGGGGCGGCCGTGCCCGGGCTGCGGGGAGCCTTCCGGCCGCCGTCTGCTTTTGGGCTTCCCGGCGCGGCCTGGCGGCGCTCGGCGCCCCGCACAAGTCGGGCAGGGAGCGGGAGGAGCTCGAGCCGCCGGCAGCTAGCTGAGAGAGGGGCTGGGAGGGGGTGGGGGAGCCGGCTGGGCGAGCCGGGGAACGTCCGTAGAGCCGCCGGGACTTCGAAGGTGTCCCAAAGGGAAAAAAGAGGTGGGGGTGACAGAAGGGTGAGGGACAGGAGCTGAGCTGGTGCCATATTGTGAGAGGGTCGAGTTGGGTATCTGAGTTGGGTGGTCCTGTGTTGGGCCAGGAGCTGGACTCGATGATTCTTACGGGTTCCTTCCAACTCAGAATATTCTATGAATCTACAACAGAGAAAGACACGTAAGTAATGCAAAATACTGAAAATTCAACAGTTTGCTCAAATTAATAGTTACAATGAAGAAATTTAATTCATCACAAGTTTGTCTGATTTGAGTGTCCAAAAAGGAGCCTGGAGCTCACGGTGTTCATGTTTTCTCTGCAGCCTTGCTTGCCCCTGGCTCTTGGGTCAGGTGCTGGAGAGCTGCTGGGTGCTTTTCCCGCAGTGGCTGTGAAGTTTTGTGTGTCAATGGAGCTCCTCGTACACAGTGCGGGATTTTGCACAGAGTGTAAGGCCGGTTTTGGTAAGGAAAAGAATTTGCCTGCTTACAGTCATGGGACTTGAAATACTGGTGGGATTTCTTAAGTCCTTGCTAAGATGGGCAGTATGACACCACTGCAGCCAAAGCAGGTAAGCAGAAGTGTGCTGGCACCAACCACTCTTCCTTCCTTCCCAGGAACCACCCCACATTATTTTTTAAAACCTTTAGTGGTAAAATTTTATTCAGAAAGGAAACGTGGGGAGGAAGGGGTCAGCCAACAGGAAGGTATCAGGGTTTTCATTTTCCTGTTACGGGCTGGCATGGCACAGTGTGTGTAGTGGGGGCTGTCAGCAGCGCTCACCTCCTGACACCACTGCTCACTGTTGTGCTCTGAATGCAGAGCTTTGGTTCTGACAGCTGCTGTGGTGATCAGGTGTCCCTCAGCAAGAAATCATAAGCATCACAACCTCTAAAATGCTCCCACACTCTCCTCTAGGTTTAATCACCGTATGAAAAGGAGGTGATTACATAAAGCAGCACAGCCTTGGTAAGAGATGTATTTTCCAACTACGTAAAGTGCAATTAAGGATGACTTCAAAATCAGTTTGAATGCAGATGAGTTGATGGTGGGTTCTGAATGTTTTTGCCCACTGAGCAAACTCTTAATTTACGTTAGAAGGGAATCTGGTTCGTGAGAAAAATCCTGGTGTTATGTTTCATCGCAGATGTTTTCATTAAATCTGTGTTTTTTTATGCATTTGTGTAAGATATACTCCATTCTTTTCCTGCTTTCATTTAGCAGTGTCATTTTTAATCTTCCAATATTTAAATATAACTTTTGATACAAGAAAAAATCTACTGCAAAGTAAAAGCCCAATCATTACTAGCAGAAAAGAGTGAGCTGTGGAGAACAGTCTCTCTTCCACCAATTCAGTGGCAGAATTCCTGCTGGCTTCAGTGGAAACAAGACTGGGTTTTAAAATAAAATAAATGAATGAATGACAAAGATAAAAACAATGTGTGATCCAAGCAAGGAAAAGAGACTGTCCTAATTTTAAGTGGTCAGTTGGGATATTTTATATAAATGTCATGCTGAAATCAGACAAACTTGTGATGAATAAAATTTTGCATTATAACTCAATTATTAATTTGAGCAAACAGTTGAATTTTCAATATTTTGCATTACTGATGTAGCTTTCTCTGTTGTGGGTTTGAAATATATCTTGAGGAAAGTCTGTTACCTTCAGTCCCATGATAGTAGGATGACTTAACCTTACAAAATACAGAAGAGCACTAAAATTGTAGTGCCTTCTTCATGGCTGTGTGTCTCTGCAATGGTGGCACACAGTCCTCAGAACTTCATTTTTTTCCTGCATATTGTATATTCTGCAAAGACACTTTTTTGTGCATGAGCCTGATCCTTCATGTGTTCTAGGTGTAAAACTTAGTTCTGCGTGCAGGGTTCTTACCAAGCAAAGCTGTTTAATCCTTAGGTGAGATATGTGATATAAATTTTAGAGATCTAAATTTTCATTAACCATCTCATTTTCCCATGTACTGCTTAAATCTGTCATGTGTGGCTGCAGAGCTAACCAGGGCAGGAAGAGATTTTGTGAAAAAGTCAACTAAAGAATGACAGCCACGGTTCTGCACTGTAACCATGGCAGTTCTACCATGGGAGAACTATTCTTTAGTTCATGGAATTGCATAATAACAATACCACTGTAATTAATACTGGGCACTTTCCTGCCAACAGAGGGACAGGTGCCAGATAGCAAAAAAGGTTATAATCTCAACAAAATTTAGGGTATGCTCCAATAAACTGTTTCTTACATGAATAATTCCCTCACATCTACTTTGTTTTCTGGAACTTTGATCGCTTTTCCATTTTGAAACACATATGAATTTTATTTGTCTCTCTGTTAGACTTTCAATCAGAAGGTTTTTGGAAGATGATTTGATCTTTTTTTTCTTTCTTGCTGTCCTTTTTGTAGTCATAGCTGGTTTTACAGGAGGTGTTTTGCCAGGTCTGTGTCACAAGTCTCGCCTTTTGTGCTGGAAGAAGTTCATAGTCTGTCATTTCTGCAAATAAGAGTCTCATAGTTGGTCTGTTTAAATTATCTTTAGGGGGAAATTGGGCGTTCTTCAGAACCGACTGCTGGCAGGGTTGATTCCCTTATGATAAGTGTGGTTATATGCCAGATTTTTAGGTGATGTGCTTGGTCTTTATTTTTCTCTTTGAGACAGCTTAGTGTCTGTTTTGATTAAGTTTGCATAAGAGGTAATTTATCATGTCGTGTTTCGTTTTAAAGGGTCAGGAGCACATCTGTTACGACATTTGTCGTAACACAGAAGATGGGTGAAGACAACTGAGTGCCTTACATCATGTTTTAGTGGTCTGAGGAGCTCATTAAATCTTGAGTCATTTCTATGGATTGCAATTTAAACCAGCTTGCAAGCCATAGTGAATGAAAATCACTTCCCACCCAACCCCCTTTATATACATACTTCTAATAATTGAAGAATGTAGGAGCCAAAAAGCCCTGTTGGTTCTCACATCCTTTCCTCAGCAAGAGAGAACTGCCTTTTATTCTGGATTGCTTTTTATCAGTCAATGGAAATACTGAAAAAGATCCTCATTATTTATCTGGAATTTACTTGTAGAGAGGAATAAGGTTAATCTTACCGTGATAAGTTTCCCGCTGTAAATATTTCAGTGACGTAAAATTCCATTTTGTGATGAGAGATGTTGTAAACTTTTCATTTCTAACCAAAAGCAATGGCTATGATGGTGTCCTTTACATGGGCAGCAGTAGGAAGCTAAATACAAGTAAAATTGTATTATGAGGCTTAAACTTAACCACTCTGATATTTTTTTTTTTTTTTTTTTTTCCAGAACAGAAAGAAATAAAGTGACTGTCACTGTGGCATCAGGCTGGATGTCAGTATCCCATACAGGCCTGGGATTTTGAAAGCCCCAGTTAATCTTGCTTTGGGAGCTGCAGCCCAACTGTAAGCCATACGTGAGACCCGCTGTAGCTGTATACATACGGCAGCAGCTGAGGGATTTATTGTGGTGATGTTGGTAACAAAGGAGGCCCACGCGGCTCCTTCCTCCGTGGTGTATCAGGGCTGCCATCCCTCGGTCTGTATGGCAGCCAGAGCCACAGGCTGGGCTCGCTGTGTTCGCTGACGGCATGCGGTGCCAGAGGGGTCGGACGGGTGCTCTTGATTCACCACTGAGCTGATGTCTGAATGCAGTTGCGTATCTCCACATGAGCTGGCTCAGATCTGTCTGCTGGCAAGTCAGCCGTGCGCAGATCTGGATTTAATAAACGTGTGACCATAAATTCAGCTAGGAGTAGGAACTGTCAGCTAATGGTTGTGACTTTCAGTGTCCTCTCTGCTGTAAAGCCGTGCTGTGAATGAGAGTGCTCTCTAAAACAATTGTTCAGTGGCACAATTACACTTTGGTAGACTGTGATGCACAGATGGTGCAGGAAGAAGAGAGGCAGAGTGGTGGTAACTACTTTGTCAGTGGGAACATCCCTGTGTATTCCTCACTTTATCCTGAACCGGATTTTCTCCATCTTCTTTTTGATCCCTCAAACTCAGCCCTTCTGAAACTGTCTGGAGGCCGACTAAGCTTGTCAATATGTGATCTGTACAACGGTGGTACATTGATCCGGAACAAACACAAGCATATAATTGCATTCTGGACAAGATCAGCCAGTGCTGAGTGACAGTGTTTACACCAGGCTTTATCCTGGCTTTACAGTGGCAGCAGAAAGATAAATGATACCAACTCGGATGTAAAATCATCAGCGTAAAACCACTCTTTACTCTTCGCTTTGTTTTGTTTCTAAAAAAGTGGTTGGGTTGAATTTCTAAGAATTCTGTGCCTCGTGGCTATCCAAAAATGGCATTTACTGTATCATGAAATTGCAGTTGCATGTTGGTGAGGGTATGCCTTCAGCTCCTCTGGTATGTTATTTTTAAGTACATAGCTGCTGTTGAGTCTAGATGCAGAGGGGTAGTGATTCCTTGCTAAAAGGCTATGTGTAATATTTTAAATTTTTACTGTCTCTAAATAGAAGAAAATGTTAAGCAAGGGAAAGTCAAGCACTAAAGCAAAGAATTTGTCCAATAAAATGGAAGAGACAGGTCAAAATAATTCCTGACGTAAGTCAATTTATCTCATGCAATTACATGAAGGATGAATTTGCTACTTTACACCTCTGGGGCCAGAAAAGGATTTCTGTGATCTCAGCCTGCACAGTTTAAAATAATTGTGGGTAAGAAACAAAATTGCAATTTAACCTGACAGAACTGCACCCACTGTTTTTAGTGTATTGCCATATCCATAAAAGAACAGCAGGTCTAAAGAACAACAAAAAGGGCTTCCTAAAAAGATGAACACATGATGATTTGCAGCTAACATCCTCCATAACAGTATTTTTGAGGGAAAAAGGATTTCACGACAGCCTGTTAGAAATGGTCAGTGACATCAGGATAGCTTCCCTTTCTTGTAATGCCAAAAGCTTTTCTCTGTTTGCTGCATTGCATTTTTAGTTTTTTTCCTCCATTCTCATCCTTCTGCCCTGACCAGCTCCAATTCAGTCATCCTTTCCCTCAAGTTCCTTTCAGTCCCGCTGTGTCTGCAGGGATCTCTGGTCTCAGCGTGGCTCTCCTTCCTGCTGTTTCCAAGCAGAAACATTCAACCACTTTGGATCGTGAAAGCAGAGACATCTGGCCTTTGCCCTAATTTATTTTCAGATTTAAAATTTTAATATGCTTAAATTTGAGATGCTTTAAAGCCGAGCACTTTCGCTGTGAGAACTCAGCCTCCTCGTGTCAATCTGTAGTGCTATGCTCAGAGATTATTTTAGTTTTAAAGCCTTATTATGAAACATCAACCTCTGCCTCCCCATCCCACTCCCAAAGCCAGGAAATACTTCTAATACCAATATGTTTCGTTCTTTTAATAGTGTAAAGTAAAAATAACCCTCTAGTGCATTAGTGCAATGAAACTGAAGCCAGCAATCTGTCGTTTTTATCCTTACTAACATGCAACTGTCAGTTTTAATATGTTGGAAAGGATCTGTACGTACATGTACATAAAAGATGTGAAAATAGAAAGGCATTTATTGAAAGCAGACAAAATCAGGAAGATTATAAAATAGTAAGAGGAAGTGACCTCAGATATAAAAACTGCTTTGTGCAGCAGAATTTACCGCTAGGAGCTGAGGCTGGCAAGTTGCCATACTTTAGATTAAATAAGCTGTGTAATGTAAAAAAGTGTCAATGTAGTGTTCAGATCCACTAAATGCATTTGCAAAACTAACGTTGCAGAAAGCAATTAAACTTTTTTAAGTTTCTTTAATTTGCTTGTTTGCTTTGTTGTTTTTTTCTTTGTGTGTCTTTAAAAGCCTGATTATGTATTCAAATACCAGAAATGTCAGCTGTACAGAGCTGGATCTCTAAGAATATCTGCATCAGGTGTAGCAATCGACAGGATACAGCAAATTGCAGACACCAAATTAAGCATATTCTCTTGTTTAAATACCTACTGCACAGTTCACAGAGCTACTCAGGTAGACTGCGTGCTGCTGAATGTTTTCAAACTGGATAAGGACTATGTTTTTCATGCAGGATATCTTCTCCATTTCCTGATAGGTTTGTGGAGTAAAGATCCAGAGCTATAGGAAATAAAGGACACATACTTGAAAGACTTCTCACATAAATGTTTTTAAAACTTGCTGAAAACACTGCAAAAATCCCAGAATTAGCTATTGTACCAGCTGAGAATAAATGCTCTTTCTTCTACACCGGTATGTTTTCCTCTGTGGCTTGGCAAGGCCTGCTTTCTGATCTTCCTGCTAGAAGAGAAGCCATTTCAGTAGATGATGGATAATGAGCCCAGCTAAGTTCTCATGACTAACAAAACCATGCCCTCTGTTCCCATCTGTAAGGTTTTTCCAGAGCTCAGCAAGTAGGGAGGACACCAAACCTGAAAAACTAGCCAGCAGATAACTACATTTAAACAGATAGTTTTCTCAACATCTTCATCAGATTTACAAGACAGATAGACTGTTACCTGAGTACGATGTGTATCCTCAAATCCAGTCTCTCAGCAAAAGCCATCTGTAATTTGTTGAGAAGAGGTATTGTCTCCTTCATACATTAAATCATTCATTCCATGAAGTGTTTTGGGGCATTTCTTGTATCTAAATCTTCACTATATTAACTGCTCCTGTGGAATTTCAGATTTACTCTTTATGAGGAACAGAAGCTTTGCAGTTCTTTCCCTAAGTGCTGTTTTTATCTCTAAATGGCCTCAAGTTTCTGCATGAGTTGTACAAATCTTTCTTATAAATCTCATATTTCATTCTACTTTAGTAAAGCTGAGATATATAGATATGAGTTAAAAGAAGATAAATTCTTTGTATTCTTCCACTAAAATTAATAAAGTGCCATCTTGAAGTTCTTAGGTAACAAAATTGAGTTTATTAGATTATGAAACTGCAGATTATGGTGAATAAATGCAGGTAAAACATTTTTCTCAGAAATCTAAACTTACAATTAAAGAAAGTTGACCATAGACAATAGGAACAAGTAAAGCAGTAACTTTATCACAGTGGGATTTCAAAGATCCATAGTAATTCCACAGTAATGCAACATGAAAAAAAGGTATGTTTTCATTGTCCTTCATGTAGCATTTAGAAATGTGTTTCCATTTGTTGCTACTGGACATTTTATCTCTTACAGAAAGCACTTAGGGCTCAAGCAGGAATACATACTTGAGCTAGAAAAGCAAAACTATTCATGCATGAATATATTTATATGAAAATATGTACTGTAATATACATGCAGTCAAAAAACTAGTGTCATATTTTATGCTAATGAAACAGTCTTTTATCTCTAGATCACAGAATTAGAGGCATCTTGGTTGTATAATGAGCATAAGACTCCAACTGAGTCTACAAAGCCAGCACGGATGTCCTGCCTTGTTTTCAGCCTGGTTGTGGGCAGAGACATGGCCATGGACGGCATTCTAAATTCAGTACAATTCTCAGCTACTAAATGCTGACACTTTCAAAATAATATACTTATTTTAGTTGTGTTTATTTGCTAGCAACATGGTATTTGGAAAATACACAGTGAATTTGAAAGTAATTCAGGAACACAATATGGTCTCCATTTGAACAGCAGGGAAGATGCACATTGATGCTACTGTTAGTAGGCCTGGGCTATTCATCTAGCTTGTGTTTCAAGACATGCCCATAAAACACAAGTCCTGACCTTATAGCTTGGTTCACATAGGGAGTTCCTCATGCTTACGGAGCTCTGATTAAGTCAGCAAGGCTAGACATCGGTCCTGATCCTGTGTGATTGGATTATGGGATTGAAGCTATGATTTGTCCTACTAAACCAACTTAAGTTATTTAAACAGATAAATCCAGTTACCGGATTTTGTTTCTCAGCAATAACACTTTCCAAAATGAAAAACAAACAACAAAAGCCCACCACCTTGCGTTCCTCACGTGTTTGATGGACTACTTCACCTTTCAGTTTGCACTCTCACAAAGCGCGCATAGGACTGCAAAGATAACATAGAAAACTCCAAGTGCAAAAGTAGTAAAGGTATTATTTCCTTTTCCCACAAAACTGGTATAAAGTATGTCTTTTTAATTCCTTCTGATCCCACGTAAGCCCACCCCACCACGGGCCCTGCACTGGTTGACAGATCCTTCTGTAAAGGCAAATCAGCGTGTAACTGCATCGTCTCCGGCTGTAGCTCACCTATGTTTCTGGCAAAATGACTTAAAATTAAACCAGTAACGTGTTCATAGCACTTTATTTTTTCTTATGAGGCCTGTCTCTGCCCTGAGTTTATGCTTTGCCTCTCAGGTTTTTGTGTTACAGGAGTCCTCTTGCATACGTCATTGACTGTCACAGCCGGAGTATCTGCTGGGAGGTAGAAATGCAGCTCCTTCCCAAGCAGATCAGCTGCTGGATTTGGCAAGCACAGATGAGTAACAGAAGTTTACCAGATGTGTTTTAACTGATAAATTTTTTTGTGGTAACTATAGTGGTGATAACTACATACAAAGTACAGTTGAAGCTTTGGACAATGCTGTTTCAATAGCGGCCTTCAGGAAGACACACTTCCTGTGTGGGGAAAGAGGCTGCTGAACAGTGCAGGAACAGCCACAAGGCCTGTGGAAATTTCATGAAAATACTTCACAACTGTCTGTAAATTGAGCCAGTGGCACAAGGACTTACTTAACTGACAGTTTAAAAAAACCTCATGAACAGTATGAAATGATGATGATGAAAACGATGAAAATCTCTACTGACTTCTGGATCGCTGGCATTAGAAACTAAATAGTTCAGCTAAAAAGAAATCAACTGCAAATTCATTATTTTAAACGAGAAAGAAAAGTGAGAAAGAGCTCTGAGAATCATGTTCCATAATGTCAACGCAGACCAGACAGGTGGTATTTCAAGCAACAGACCGTAGGGAACACTTACCTTCAATCAGAGTGAAGGACCAGAAAACGCACTGTAATCTGTACAGGTGCTCTCACAGAGAGACAGTGAACAGGACGTGCAACCTGACCTAAAATGAGTGATAGCAGAAGGTGTACAAACAAGCACTTAGAAAGGTGTTCTCCTTTATCTCAGGTTGGTACTTGAATACTTTTGTGTTGTAGAAGGGGAGCAAAGGCCAGAAACTAGAAATGTTATAATTATTTCTAACTCTGGAATCAGTCCGGCATGCTTGCAGTCAGCGTGCACTGCTTGGAATGCAAGGCTTAAGATCTGAAAAGCTATTTAGGAAAACTGCTGTAGAAAATATGTTTTATTACAAGAGGCCAGACAGGAACACTGAACTTTGAAGGGTCATTTGTGAATAACTTCCAGCTTAAGTGATTAAGGGCTCCAGTCTCCAGCTCCTCCACCCAACCTAAAAAATGTATTAGAAACATCCTGCTTTGTTATTGCTGCTGGCCTTTTCTTCGGCGAGCAAGAGAGCAGCACTGGACTTTTCTGTTGGCTTTGGTTCTGTGCCCCTGGGATACTTCTAACAATGCATCATGCTTTAAAGAATTCTGAAACATTTTTATAATTTCCTTTGAACTGTGAGGATAAAGATAAATAAAGGAGATTTTGGTATGGGTAGAAAGCAAATAGCACTTCTTGAGGCTCACAATATTTACAGTATGCTTTTACAGCACACTGTTGCACTCGTTAACAAGACCCCTGTCCATTCTCTCTCTTTTTTTTTTTTTTAAATGGAAGGCAAAGCATATCACATACTTTCCAAAAATGTTCTTATAAAGAAAGAAAATTACATCTTTTCTATGCATTTAGCATGTTTTTCTTTCCTCTTCTAAAATTAAACTGTGGTGCAAGACTAGACCAACAGTCAGGAAATACTTTGGAATTAGATTCAATCTGATTGACTGATTGATTAAGGCACATCAAGGAAAAAAAAGTGTAAAAAGCACTGGGTATAATTAGCCCAGAGCTCAGCTAGCAGACTTCCAAGGCCAAGCATAAACACACCTGTGTCCTCACAAAGGTTTTTAATTTCTTTGCTATATGATGAACACACGTCTCTCAATTGCGTCTCTAAAACAAAACAGAAATACCCCCTCTCTAATCAGAAACAGGCACTTTTAAGTTACATGTACATCTATATGATATATAGACTGCAACACTTGAATGAGCAGCAGCACAATTAGTTCTTTTGTTGAGTACAGACAAAAGATCCTTTTTTTTTTTAAAGACATTTATTTCTGCTTTTAAATAGCTTGATAAAACCCACAATTGGTATTCAGAGTTAAAATGTAAACATTTACTGTAAGTTACCACTGTGTGTTAATTTTGTACATCAAACTATTTGCAGTGAAATCCATAAGACCAGTCAAATTCAGCATATTTATAAACTGAAATGCACTGCACTAAGATAAAACAATGCCATAACTGAAAATATTGGAAAGATGTTCAACTCCCTCCTGTGGTGTAAGTGAGCAGCATCACAACCAGCTTCTGGAAGCACAGACAGCACTCTAATAACCAAATGCCTGTACTTATTGCAGTAGGACAACAGATTTCAAGCTTACTATGGAAACTCAGAAGTTACAAAGTGTTAGATTTCTAGAATACTTACAAAGGCGTAAACATTTTTCTCTGGGACACACACAAAGATGGTTTGTGCCAACCTTCTCTACCTCCCACACTGGAAAAAAAAGTTAGGCCAAAGACTATAGACTGAAATTGTTTTTCACGGGTAGCATCACAGTTTGCAGAAGTATTACAGTGTCAGCAAGTACAATTAGTGTTACTCAGCAGCGGGGAGCACAACCCATCGCCAAGACGGTTCATGGAACACTCATCCACCGGTAATGAGGCACTACGCGCTGCATTTACCTGCTTATAAGAACAAAAACGTGTTACACTCGGGTATTTTTGTATCTGATGGGTGAAACTGACTACAACCAAAAGACCAAAGAACACTGCTGCTTGTAGACTGATCTGATTTTTAACCATTTTTGGGCTTCATGTTCTGCTTACTTGATCTGACTCTTGTGTGACCAATCCAAAGACACCAAGACCACTGAGATTTTGCAATGCAGTACAGAATTAATTTCACTTTACAAGGGTTAACTTAATGCAGGGTAGTAAAGGAGGATAGCATCATTCTAACACTGCCATATTATTTATTCTCCCAAGAACTGCCAGCAGATAGTTTACCTGTGTCCTTGTATACAGTATATGAGTTGATCATCAGTATTAATATTTTCATAAACAAGTTGTTTATCTGAAAATTCAGCCAAGTGCAGCTCATCACTGAAGATTAGAGGCTTTGTAGTCTGAGATACGAAGAGGGGATTAATCACAAGTATTTAAAACAATCCTAAAGAGTTCCTTTTCTTCCTAGTTAGACTGTGCATCACAGAAAGAAGCATCATTTTGTAATACACACTCTTGAATATACTCTTAAAACCTTAAAACCTCATGCAAACCTTTTTCAGAAAGTTGTATCTCTGACTTTAAAAAAAATAAATCAGCCTTGAAGCTGGAATCATTGCTTTTTTAAACGTCAGCCACAATGTATTTCATGAGCCCCAAACTGCAGCCGCAGTTCTCATCTGACAGAGGTGACACATCTCGCTTTGAAGGGGAAAAAGCAGGAAAGTGTCATGCTGACTCCCTACTGCTCTGCCAGATAAACTGCTTGTCATACAGCCCAGTCACCCTGTGGATACTTAAATCTCTGCATGGTTTCTGTCAATTTGTTATTCATAATTAATTGCAGGGGAGTGTTTCTGAAAAGGAACAGAATTTCAGCATAGGCTTATGTTGGAGTTTATGGGAAGGGAGGAGAAGGCAGTTACAGGTAGGCCCAGGCCATAATTAAAAAAACACAAACAAAAAGCCTGGCAATAAGCTGACATGTTGGGCAAGTAGGGACAGACTTCTTCCAGAAATTAAAAGAACGTATACTTTTAGCGTATATATACACATACACACATAAGGAGGGGCAAGGGAGGAGAAAAAAGGCAAACTTTGGCAAAGTTTAAGAAAGTGCAGTCTTTACAATCTTAAAAAAAAAAAAACAAACCACCAAACAATAACACTGAAAAAGCAAAAGGCTGAAAACTATCTACAGTTAAAACTGTCTCATGGTGCAAGATGATGCACACAAACGACTCCTAAGATTGCACTGGCTGTTACCACACTGAGAATTACAACACACCTCTGCTTCATTTTGCATTGTAATGCCAGAAAGTAAAGAACAGTTTACATCAGCATTCCAACATCATACTGCGATAATACGGCTTTTTACCCACATGCAGAGTTCTGTGCACACATTTAAAAGTGTATTTTCTGTTTTTAAGCAGTATACCATACAGTCAACTGCCATTAAGCATATGTTTGTGGAAAAGTATTAGGCAATTAGCTAAATACTTCATATTTTCTTAATTTGTCTTCTAGCGGTAGAAAGAACTCTTTGCTGTGTGGTGCAGGAGGGATCTGGACACTCATCAGTGAACTTCTAAAAAACAAGAGTTGCTCAGCAGAAATGCTCTTTTCTGCAGCAACAGAACAGCAAGGCGTGAGAACTGGAAGTAAAAAGGCAACTCCTGGTTCAGTTAGTGATCCCCTGCCCCTTTTAAAACTTATTTTTCTGTACTATAATCATCCCAAAACAACCCTAGCACCGCATGCACTCAGAAAAGCAGTTCCACACGTGACTTTTTGAGGCCACAAAACTCCATGCAAACCTGGTTCTGAGACATTTTCCGCCTTCTGAGATGAGTTAACATCAAAACATTTTGGGGAGAATGGTGGCTTAAACCACAGGTTGTGTTTTATTGATATATAGTTGCAAAGGACAGGTATCGTTTTGGCTTACTGTTCTTCCCTAGAGAAGGAAAAAAAAAAAAATCCATTTGAGCATTGACTCCATCAGTGAAACAGTTCTATTAGTGCAAGAACAGTGTTTTCCATTTATGGTCTTCCCAAGCTTAAAGTGCAGTATATTATGTGAGATCTTAGCTTAATAAGTATCATTTGTTTGAATTTCAAAAGGAATGTTTCGAGTTAAAAAGTTACCTTTTAGGCCTTAAGCAATAAAATCCAGGACAAAGTACCATAACCTATCCTAAAAATGAATGAAATCCACAAGACGTTCTGTAAATTTTATGTTCAGTATACATATAATACACAAAACCCCATCGTATCACTTAACTGCACTGAATCTGTATTTAAAGTGATCTGGTAACAAGGACTTAAAGGCCACTCAGTACAAGTTTTGCTTAAAACAGGACTATATTGCCTGGCCTGTGATACATAGTATGGTTCAGGATTCCCTCCTGCAGAGGCTATCAGTAATGAGACAGCCCATGGCGCTGTGCTGCGCACACATTTCACCTTACCAGTGGCTTCCCTCATTATTCCTTTTTTTTTTTTTTTTTAATAATAATATGATCATTAATAGTAGACAATTTAAAAACTGGATGTTATGCCTTTAGCTGTTCCTCTTGCCTATTAACATTACAGTACTAAGAAACTTCTGTTTTACGTAACTCTGGTTCCCAAAAATACGTAGCTCCCAAATGATGTACAGCAGGGAAGGGAATCTTCCAGGCTGTAGATTCTCTACATAGGAAGTTCAAGCAATCAGTTGTGGACTGTGTTTGGGGACAGCTTTACAAAAACAAACAAGAAACCCACAACGCAGCAAGAGAGTATTTCTGTACCAGTACAGCTACTTAGAGAAATCAAATTGCAGTTACACAATTTCTATTTCTTTAAGCAGCCAAACGAGCTTTAAGAGGCTCCACTCCCCATCTTCATCCCTTTACCCACAGCTCTGCCTGCTGTTTTTAGGATTTATTTGTATATAGATAACTGTTAACATCATCATTCAAATAAGCTACAGGCTTTTGGGGAAAAGTGTCTTTGCGCCTTATGTTTTGGGGTTTTAGATCTACATTTACTTAAGCAATCTTGATTCATAAACACTTGCAGTACTATCACTGCAAGGATGAAAAACTGCAGTAGTGGAGATGGGAGTGAATAGGACGAGCTGTTTGACTAGAAGGAAACTATTGCTGTCAAGCTATTTACTTACAGAACACAATCCATTGTTACTTTACAGCTTCTGGTAATTTTGAGTCTGGGAGTCATAGCCAAAAGTCTAGAAGTTTAACAATTAAAAGTAGACACGAGGGAAAAGGTTACTTTCTAAATTAAAGTAAATGGCTTATTTCTTCTAACATCCAGAAGAAATAATCTGCCAGCTGGGATAATAAAAACACAGCACACCACAGGAATTAGTGTACCTAACTTTTAGCACTCCAGTAGTTAGTCCAGCACATCTCCCTATCACACTGCTAACCAGCATCTCACCTTCATAGTCACGGACTTTTCTATGCTGGTGTGCTTAAAAATAATACTTAGAAACACCCCTAGCTTTTCAGAGGAATGCAGTTCAAACTAAATACCACATCTGCTTTGAAGAGAAGTTAGATAGCAAAAGTGACACTTAGCCTATCAGTCACTGGCATGAGTTTCGTCCCCATTCAATCCCTACTTGTGACTCAGAGTGAAGAGTTAGCTGAAGACACAGGCTAACCCACCACATCAGTACCTCCCTCTTCAGGCAAGTCCACAGAGCACCCTGAGCCTACCTGTAACAAAGGTACGTTGAAAATTTGGACACAGAGTTCAAACTCTGACCTTCTGCACAATGCGTTTCTCCACTGATGTGTGCATGGGAACATGTTCTACAATTTCTTACTCAGAAGCAGCTGTATTGATTTCAACATGCTTTCTCCATTCTTTGCTAAATCCTGTAATCAGAAGTCTATGCCAAAGTCAACAGAAATGATTACTTATGCTTCACTGATGACAATTGCTGTCTCAAGGAATTTTTGTTAGAAATTATTTATAGTGCCTATTGTAGCCCAACGGAGCTAACAAATTCCTGTACAAGTTGGAGCAGTAACACCCTTGAAAAGGACCACTGGAGAGAGCTGTGCTGTACTGAAAACCATCACCCCAGTGGCTTTCCTATTCAAAGTGTTTTAAGGACTGATACTTTAGAGGTGGTTTCATGCTGGGAATTCAGTTCTGTAAGCAGTAGCTTCATTGGAAATGGTTGTAAACAGTAGCCAGAGTACTCAGCAAATACAAAATCTGAAGAAAACAAAAGATTTGCGTTAAACAGTCACATTGAGTTCTACACTCATGTTAATGGGACACCTGAGGTGTCCCCAAAAGTTTTGAGATTAAGAAGTTCTTTCCACTCAAAGGCAGATATTCTGTACTAAAAAAAAAGTCCCTATTATTCCCAACAGACAGTTTTACTAGCAATTACACAAATGCAATTTTTACTTTAGCTATCTACTTATCACTACAACCTGAACAGTAGCCTTGCCTCTGTCTCTCAATTAAGTTCCTATTAACATTTAAAATCGTCATTATTAAAATTTTAGTACACTTTTATCTTCGCTACTTCACACCAGAGACCTGCTAGTGCAAAAGCTAGCACAGGCATTACTAGCTGCACGATGTAAAAACTGTTAGTCACATATAGTACATCTGAAAGCATCTTCTTATATCCAAGTGTTTGCTCTGAAGTAACAGGGTTTAAGTAATAAGGAAAAATACAGTTGTTTAAGAGTCCCATTGTAAAACCATTCAGTGAGGCAACTGGAGCAGAAGAGAGATCAGGAAGTCCACCCAACTCCAGCTCTCCAGGAAGTGCAAGCTGCAATTCATTCCCTATGATGCTGCTCACTTCTAATTCCAGAAACTGCAGTTCTTGATTACACTGCAACTTTCCCAGCCACACGTGTGCAAAATATGCAGTGTTGTCTCCTGGGCAGCATGAGCTGAAGTCTCCAGCAAAACTACAAGCTTTCTCCAGCCAGCCCACTACTGAAATGCTATTAATGCAGTGAGAAACCCCATCAAGCCTGTCCTTCCCAGAATAAAAACAAAGACACAATGAATCTTTCCATAAAGCCGCTACATTTGAGTTTCTCCCTGCTGATTCACTCAAATTCAAAGGCATTTCTGAGCCAAGGTAAGGCGGAGGTATATTATTAAAGAGAGAACAATTCCTGATGTTAAAATAAAGTAATTCTTTTTGTAAACTGCCACTGTGATTTTGAGAGTTGTTCAATACGGAATGTATGTGTGCCAAGTATGCTGCTGCCTTGTGACGATCTTGGCCACCATCAAATACTCTTTCTAGGTTTAAATATTCTTTCTTCATATTCCTATAGAAGATGAGCATAGCTTTGCTATTTCACAGCAGAACGAGCTTGAAGAAGAACACGATTGACTCCAAATAGTACAAGCAGCACAAGTGACAAATCAGTGGATCTCAATATGGACCTAAAGAGAAAGAATACAGGAAGTTACTACGTGAAATCCCCACCCCATTTTTTTTTTTCATCCCAAGCTCATCTTGCAAGATGCCTCATCTTTTCTCTAGATCCCAGTGTCTTAGTGCCAGGATATAGAAAATAAGAATTCTTTAATATAAAGAGTAGCCCAACTGCAGAATGTTAAGTATTCCGAAGAGACAGCTCTCCTTACAGCCTGCTTTGAACACATCTTGAGGGGCAGGAGGTACCCAACACAAGTTCGCTTTCTGCAGCTTCAGTTTAACCTCTTACCAAAAGGTAGTTTATAGCAAGCATCCAAGTGAGTCAGCAAATGAGAATCTAGAAAGATTCATTGTGCCACAGTATGATCTTCTACTAACTGAAATGCAGTCTGTGGTTGATCAGAGGCATAATATTAAAGGCTAACACCAGTTATCTTCCTGTAAACAGAAGCACATGCTGGAATCAGGGACATGGTGGACACTGGTGTTCCAAAGGAACAGGTCAGAGCACCTGCCTGCAGAGGGAAGGGTGCTGCTTTCACTGTGTCCAAATGGGGAGCTGATGTCGTTACAAGAGAGCTATTCCATACCAGCACAGATAAGAAGCAAAGGCAAGGCATTTTTAGCCACCAAGGTTATTACTATGCTACGTGTGTAACTCTTGGCAGTGAGGCTCAGGATCAAACTTCAGCACTGTAGGACAAATGAGTCCCAAAAATAAAAATATGAGACACTGCATTCTGACCTCCTTTTTCAGCTTACCTTTCACAAGTCACAGACTGCCACCAGACTGATCTTTCAGCACTCACCCACCAGCCAGATTGCAGCTGTATTTACGAGCAGAAAGCAAGCATCAGCTCTTGGCTGCAGCTGATGCCGGTTGGGAAAGCCCACAGCTTGCTTTTGTTACCAGTAAAACGCAAAGCTTTCATTTCAGAGCAAAACCAACAGAACTTTTCTACAGTACAGGAGCTAGTAATTAATATCTTTAGGTCAGAACTTGTTCAGGGAGTCCCATGCGGTGTGGAAGCAGTCTCAGCACAGGAGAGACACAAATTAAATCTGAGCTGTCATTTGTACGCAGTGACGTTATTATTTAAAGCTACCTCCGTTTTTTCTCTGTTCTACTTGCTCTCGGTTTTGAGAACAGAAGCTGTAGCAGGAAATTGTTCCATCACAAGTCAAGACGCGCGTGCCGGGGATGCATTTACGCGAACAACGACAGAGGAGCAAGGAGCAGCCGAGGGGAGATTTAGGCAGGGTTCAGGGGAAGGCGCTGCCCCGGAGCCCGCCCTTCCGGAGCTCGGGAGCGCTGGGACCCCGCTCTCAGACACAGGGCGGGGGGCCCCGCGCGGAGCCGGACTCTGAGATCCTTGCGGGTCCCTTCCAAACCGAGCAGCTGCGCGGTGCGACGCGTCCGAGAGTACAGCGAAGCCCAGTGAAGCCCCGAGCCGCCCGCGGCGCCCCCGCCCGGCCCCGCCGCCCACCTGCAGCCGCACGTTGAGCATCATGGAGGCGACGATGTAAAGGTACGGGAAGTTGATGCGGAGCTTCCAGGCCAGGTCGAAGAAGATGAGGAGGGTTCTGGTCAGCCCCTTGCAGAACACGCCGTACGACCTGGCCGCGGCCGACTGGGAGAGCCTGGCAGCCAGGGCGGACAGTGTCACCGCCATATACCCTCGCTGCGGCCCCGCCGCAACGCCCGGGCCTTGCGCCGCCGCCCCCTCCCCGCGCCCGGCGCTGGGTGTCGCCAGCGGGGAGGAACCCGCGGCCGCCGGCGCCCTGAGTGTGACGTCACCGCCGATCCCGGCGCGCATGTCCGCGGGAAGGGCGGGGCGGAGGGGCAGCGGGGCGGGGCGCGCTGACCGTTGGAGCGGGCGCGGCTGTTGGAACCGGCGGGTCTCTGAGCGCTGGCGCTGCGCCTGTGGGTAACGAGCCCAGAAACGGCGAGTGCCGTGTTTGAAGGTGTGGAATCTCGAGAGCAAAAAAAAGGCCCTTTTTTCTCACAACTGGCTTTCACTCAACTGGTTTTGGGTAACTAACGTGAAACAGAACAACTGACTGTGGATGCAAACTCATGAGTAAATAATGTTTAATTGCCAGAGAATCGAGAAAAATCCCAATACAGCGTTGGATATGCTCCAGAAAATGCTGTCAGGTTCCTTTTTTCGCGAAAATAAGTCCTAGCGTTAGTCGGCCCATAACAGCAAGCTAGCAACAGCGTTGATTTGGATCTAATTATTTAACTCCAAACGGCGCTTCATGAAATAAACTTTAGCTTTCCAGCAAAGAAATGCAACTTGCAACAATAACGCAACTGAATGCCAATTAAAGGGTTCTGCCAGTTTGTCACATTGGGGTTTGGAAATCAGTGAGATCCCCAGAGCCACCCCACAAGTTCTGCTTTGATTTCATCTCTGTCATGGTGGTAGAAATCCTTCCTTTTCAATTTAGACAGGACACGGATTAATGTGCACGAGTTCAAAACTACTGATGTGCACTTTGTAGCTGAAGGCTGCAGAAGTTGTTTCCCATCAATTCAGTGCCATCTTTCCATTTTGCTCCCTAACCCTGACTCACTTTCTCATGCATCTGACAAACGCACCCTTATTGTTTAAGTCCTTTCATGTTTTATGTCATTCTGCCTAAAATTCATCCTTAGGAATTCAAATATTAACTCCTCTGTTCAAAGAAAGAATACTGTTAATCAACGTTACTGACTTGTCATATTTTCTAAAGGTGTTCTGAAGCCTTCTCAGCTTACATCTGTTATGATGAGGAATAGTTTCTCATGGGCTTTCTGTAAGGATTTCTCTGTTCTCCCTTAAGGCTCGTAAGCTACCATATTTCCAAAACAAGAGGAAAAGTTAGATCCCAGATGTGCCTACCACAATAGACCACTATTATCTACCAGCATCCTCCTGTTTAACTGCCTGTCTTCCTGCTGGTTTTGTAGCCAGGTGTGTGCACAGAATAACCCTCATGACTTTGGTCAGCTCTCCAGGCAAATATACTGTGAGCTCAATATTTGAAGGAGAGGGAGCTTAGAGGTGTTTATACTTAGCTTCTTTATGCTGTATTTTTATATCCATTGCTATGTATGCAAAAACTGCATAGAACAATTGATAAAATGATTGCAAAATACTGAGATCATAACAGAAACTTGGAAAAGGGAGAAGTCTGATATTTTAGACAACAAACCATTTTGTTCTCTTCTGTTCCTATAATCTTCTGTGCTCTTTTGGACTGAAAGTTCTGTTAAAAAGAAGAAAAAAGCCAGCTGGTTTCTAACAAACCTCTTCTTGTAAGTGGGTGTTTTAGGGCTGCAGGGAGAGCTGTCAGCAGCTCGGCAGGCTGTGTGCTGGTGCAGTGCCTGCCTTCCCCACTGGTGATCAGCCTTGGCACTGCGCACCCCAGGCACTCCTCGCAGGGTTTATTGTCCCTGCTGACAGAAGCGCTCGGTTCATTCTTTTGGTTCATGCTGTTGCCTGGCTTTGAGCCCCCTCTCTACCAAATCTGTCAGAAAATCAGGTATCGAGCAAACTGCAGATTCTAGCAGCAGTCCTGTCAAGTGGCAGATGTGAGTGAGGATACTGACAACACAAACAACTCTTGCAGAATCTACTGTGTGCTGTGCAGCACTGTGCAGAGATGTGCTGAGGAGCACTCGTACTCCAACTTATACAGTCTTAAGACACAAAACCACATTTGAAGCAGGTATTTTTCATCAGTAATAAATGCAAGACTAACATTGAATAAAACTAACTTGCTACCAGCAATATGCAGAAATTCCAGTCACTCAACTGCATCTCTTGCCGAAGCAGTTGTGGTTGATCTGTGCCACCATTAACCTGGAACGTTACACAGAAAGGACAATTTTCTAATTGTTATTTAGGAACTGCAGAATAAATCAAGCAGCTTATTTTGGGACATCTTCCTCTTCACAGGAAGTGTTACTTAGCAGCGTACCAGCCTACATTCCTTGGAAAAAAGGGAAGTTTTTCAGATAAAAATTCTTTCAAGAGAGAAATAGGCTTCTTAACACCCCCCGTCCTCACAGAAACTGAGGAAACTGACCACAGAAGGCCTGGTCCTTTAAACTGGTAACACTGAATGGGCTTCAGTCATGGTTAAACCTTTATCCTCCTCCTCAGTATCTGGAGGTTGATTTATGTGAACTGCTTGATGCCAAGATAGGTAGACTTTGGAGGGAATGTCCAGCTTTCACATCTATGTAGTTCAGCAATGGCTCACTCACCTAACAACATGATTTGCCTTCAGATGGCAGAAAGGCTTGTTCCCTGCTGAGGTATTTACAAGCAATAAAAAAACCTGAAGGAGCACTGAGAATACTCAGATCTTGTTAATTACTATATAATGGTGTCTCTATTCCAAAAAACTTACAGTCCCACAGCCTTCAACAACAGGTCTCACTGTGGTGATCGCTGCCTGTTAGAGCTTGCTAAACACGAGGGCAGGCAGAAGTGAATGCAAAGCCTTATGTGGTTCTTGTAACTGAAATTCTTCACAGAAGAGGTATTTGTCAGAAGCTACCTGAGGAAAGTACAGGGCTTGTTTCGATTGTATGTGTGTACCAGCTACATCCTCTACGCTAACATCACATTAATGTGATGCATTTATTTTACAATGCTTCGTTATTAAGACATTTCTTTATTAGCATTTTATTTTCACATTCCTTTAATCTCGTCACTCTGTTGCAGCAAATGCTGACATTTAAAGCTGTGGTTCCTTTTTTATTGCTGGCACTGGTTCCTCTAGAGCAGACTGAGTACTAAATCTGAACGGCGTACACATCACATGTTATTGCAGGGTTTTTTCAAGGCTCAGGAAACTAATCATGCCAAAAATGTCTGCCTAGAACATCTACAAAATGGTGCATTATTATTTGCAGATTATATTATTTTCTAACATGAATATTATGTCATTGTATCTCTCCAACTGCAATGATCTCTGCAGTGATGGTCTTGTTATCAGAACTGTATTCAGTTAGCATGGCACAGGTACATAACTAAAGAATGTAAAGATCATGCAGCAAAAACCTTCAGAATCTTAGGCAATTGTATTAGGTGTGAATGTGAGGTGCTAACTGCTGACCGAACAGGCTCAGTAAGTTCTGTGCTGATTGAAAAGTGGAAAAGCAAAGGAGCTCAGTGAGTGACAGGCAGGACACAGAGGCAGATACTTCATGGATGGAATGAGAGTCCAGCAGGGAATTTCAGACGCCTGGTCCTGTGAATCGAGATTTCCTTCTACCAGTTACTGTATCCCTAACACTGTATCATTAAATGACCTGACTTTTACCACCAAGTCAAATGAGGATAAAATACATTCAATTTTTTTTGACAAATATTTTAGCTATTGTGAGATAAAAAAGCATTTGAAAACCCTATTTTTCTCCAGTCAGAAATCTCATCATTTTGTGTCATATGTTGATGGGTTTGTTTGTTTTGGATTTTCTTTTGCACCTGATTTTAATACAAATATGTAAAGAGGCAGTAGTGCAGCACATGCTGAAAACCTTACTCCACCCTCTTATACTTTGTGATTCACCTTTGCTCTCTGTAAAATTGGCTCCTGCATTTCTTCAGTCTGACCTCTAACTTCAAGTATCTGTGAGCCACAGTTACAGCTTGTTGCCCCCCCAGGAGCTGTAACGCTCTCCAGAAGGGCACAACTTCACTTTTGACGCAGATATTTTAACATGCTATTTCCTGAAGGCAATCGAGCAGACCTGCTGTCAGCAGGAAGTGCCATCCAGGAGTAGGAGAATGCATCTGTGAATCACTCTTAGGTGTTCTGGTTTTTTCCCTGACATGTTTCCTGGTATGTACAGTGTGTACTGGTACTTCCCTGCTTCTCTGCTTATTTATTTGTGGCTTTATTAATAAACTAATATGATAAAGAGCACAGCAATGGTTTGAAAGATGCTATAAAAGCACAAAATATTATTGTCTCTGTAATGCTGTCATGATGAGTAAAACTTTCCAGTATTGCATCAGTGTGATTACCCTGCCACTCCCCATCCACAAAGGATAATAATCTTCCTTCAGTGCCAGCACACGCACAATGCACACATTCAGACAGGCTCCCAAACAATTTAAATGATGATTTCCTCTCAATGTCTAAGAAAAACACTTGAAACAATTGCAATGGGTGATGGATGATAAGGTGAACAATATCAGGACTGACCTAAGCCTCAAAGTTATGGTTCATGACCTTATCAGAATTATGGAAAGGTTTCTAATTGGTTATAGCTACTGCCATTCATTCTTTGCTTTTTGCATGCTCCTCTGTGAATTGCATCTGTAACTATTCTATATACAACCCAGCAGAGCAATCACACTTACTAAGCTGATCATTTTTGCATTAAGATGTTTGTTAGTAACCTCTTACTCGCCTGCTCTGTCTTCCATCCTGTTCTCTAATTCTACATTTCTTTTACTTTGTCAAACTGTTTCTGTGTCCGCTTCTCCTTACAGTCTCAGGGGAAACAAATAACATATCTGCAAAGTGCTAAACATTATGCCCCACATAAGTGAGCTTTTTTCTTTTTAAAATACCAATACGCTTCTTACTGGTGAAACAAAAATGATGTAAGAATTAATTGAAGCCTAGATGAAATGTATTAAAGCCTAGTAATAAAATAATAGTGCATTGTGTACCATAAGGAGCA